AATAGCTATTTTTCAATTACAAGACTGAAAGTGACTAGCCCGAGCTAAAACTATTGATAAAACTTCATGATAATAGCTATTTCTTAAATAAAGGACGAAAAATGGTATATTATTACTATGGTTGATTGTGGGAAGGATATGAAAACAGAGGGGCTTGAGGAAGAGCGTCTGCGAGAGAAAATGGTGGCTAGTTAGTCCAGGAAGTAGATGTAGCGAAGTGCAGCAACAGCCATTTTAAGTCTACTATTTAAAATATATCCACAATTTACAATTATTTTAGAAATTAACCAATTCACCCAAACTTCATGACTAAGTATCCTGAATATTTTAGCTGCTAATTTAAAATTCAGGACTAAGTAAACTGAATTTATGAACTACTAATTTCAAATTCAGGATATAAGATTCGAACTTGTTGACACAATTTTCGAACTTTAGGAAACGATGTCCTGAAGTTTGAGCTTTGAGGTTTAAACTCTAGGACGTTGTGTCCTGAAATTTGAGCATAATTGGCTAATCTTTAAATACATTGTAAATTATAGATATATTTTAAACAACATGTTTAAAGGTGGCTTCCTGGTGTCATTTCCACGCATGTGAGAGGGTGATCCAAGCCCAATGATTTGGGATTTTTCCACGGTATAACCTCCTCTTAAAATAATATCCAAAATATTTTTTATATGTATATATATATATATATATTATTTTTTATTGACTAGTGTCTTTAATAATTTTGGCCAACATAGGAAACAGGAAATTCAAGTCCAACAAGGTTTATGTTAAATAAATAAACTATAAATAACCTACTTCCCATCATTTAAAATTTATCAAAGCTTCTCTAAACTGCATTTGATTTCTTTTTCCTAGTTTTCGTTTCTTTTCATTTCCATCTTAGTTTTAGTAGCCAAAGTCCGAGTAGTCTCTGAATAGCCATGGCACTTTACTTGCCTTATTTTTACGAACAAAGCATTCATTTTTCTTTTATCGAAAACACTGCTCGTATTTGTCACGTACAATCATCAGTCAAACATCAAAGTGCACCTATTTACATTAGTTGGTCTTTTCCTCCTCAGGGATATATCAAGATTAATATAGATGGCAGTTTTAGGCCTAATTCAGGACTAGCAGGGTTCGGAGGTATTGCACGAGACGGCAAAGGAAGATGGATAGGCGAATTCTACGGCCGACTTAGCATGAAAGCGACATCAAGTATCACACCGGAGTTGTGGGCCATACATGGCGGGGTGACTCTAGCAAAAAAACTACAACTTGAAGAAGGTTCTAATCGAAACCGACTCAAGCGATGCCTTAATGTTGCTAACTGTTGTGGATAATATCACTAAAAGTCATCCCGATCGTGTTCTGATTGAAGAATGCAGGAGTCTCATATCCAAACTTGAGATTACTCTAATCCATACTCTGAGACAAGGAAATAATTGTGCTGATCATTTGGTGAAGTTGGGAAGGACACAGAATGAAGATTTGGTAATATTGCATCGCCCGCCACATTCTATGCAGCAATTGCTACTTGCGGACATGGCTCACGTATCATATGCTAGGTATCCGAAGCATGTAACCTAACGAGAGGGCTAGGGCAAAAATATTGTGAAGTTGTAACATTTGTAAAAATCGGAAAAAAAATTATAATAATTGGTAAGATATTTTTTTGAATGTCTAAGATCATTACAATTAATATATATCTTCTCTATTTTTTTCTTATAGTTTGTTGCTAACGTTTTTGGTATCATTTCATTTATTTAGACTTCAAAAACAGTAAAGCATATTAACAAGCATTGCTTGGATGTTAAAAAAAAGACAGCGGTCCAGGGTGACATAGGTCTAAAAATGAATTTGAACTACTTTCTCTTATTAAAAGAATTTAATAAAGGAGAAAAAGATTTCATTTCTTCTTTTTGAGACAAGATGGTAAAGGAAAAAATTGAAGATACGAAAAGGATAAACTTACGACGTATCAAAGATAAAACCAACGCAATATGGCAATAATGGTTCACATTCTCTTTGTTCTTTATATACACACATTGCAAATTCTATTTTTCATTTACCATTGTTCATTATCTGAAAATACATATATTGCATGCAAGCTTTAGAAAACCTCCACCAACGGAAACTTAAACAATATGGCATTTTATTTATTTTAATTTTTTTAAGAATAAAAAGTAGTGAATTTAATTCTTGAATTATTGTTTATTCAGTTCTAGTTTATGTTTTATTCGCCCTACAAATTTGTCTTTCAGCTAAATCAATTGGGCGATTAAAAAAAATTACTGAACTACATCTCATTATTGATGCCTAAGTTATTTTACTATTGTGCCCAAAAAAGTTACAATCATCAATTAATTCTGTAGAATATTTATCAAGCACACATGAAAATCAAAATGCTCATTACAAGCATTGAAATATAGTAAATAAGGTAATAAAACTATAAGTGAACCCTATCGATTATTTCTAAAAATTAATAAATGAGAATTACTAAATATATTTATTTACTAATACGTAATACGGGCAAAAGAAAACATGCTTAACCTATTCACCGATTTAGAAGAAACCTGGGTACATTTGGAGTGCAGGGGAAATATCAAAATTCCAATATTAGTTCAAATGCCTTATTTTATTTCCTTTTTGCACTAATGGTGTGTTTGGTATGAAAGAAAATATTTTTCATGGTAAATGAGTAATTTTATCACTTATTTTCCCTTGTTTGGTAGGTGAGTGAAAAATAAGTGAAAAACCACTCATTTTCCATGAAAATATTTTCTAGGAAAATATTTTTCATGAAAAACATTTTCCTTCGTACCAAACACACTCTAAGTGGCTAATTGGAATCTAACGTGAATTTCTAGAGGCTTTTTTTACCATTAGCAGTATTACGAAGGCTTGGAACAAGAATTTATTGAGAAGGGATATTTTACGGGTACCAAATTTGATAATATATAGCTATTGTGATCTGAAGTTATTGCTATAAGTATACGGGCTATGGCTTTACAAAACAGCTTATTAAATAAAAGGGTTTATCCAACTGTGACAAATCATAATTAACGAAAGTTGCTTAACTTCTTGAGGTCATTTGTAAAAATAAAGTCTTCCCTAAAAAATTAAGAACAATGACGCTATATGCTCATATGAAAAGCAGGAAAAAATTCCGGCCTAATAACACAAACATATGGAATTTCGTCAAATGTACAAAAAGCAAAATGGGCAGATATTCTCAATTTAATGTAATAATTTCCAATATAGAATCCAAGTTTAAGAAGGAAAAGGATAATTTCCAAACCAGTCCAAGTTAGTTTGTAATAATAGTTTAAGTTGTTTCTAAATTATTCTAAATGATCACTTTAGTTTTTTTCTCATTTAGAAAACCTATTTTCACTTTCCTAAACCTTCTAAAACTAGAATTAGGAAAAAATAGGAAAAATCCTAGTCCAACTAGGTTTATGTTAAATAAGTAACTATAATAACCTACTTTCTAGTCATTTAATCTATCAAAGCTTCTCTAAACTGATTTTGCTTTCCTTTGTAGTTTTCATTTCCATCAAAGTTTTAGTAGCCAAAGTCCGATAATTAAGTGTGTGAATAGCCATGGCGCTTTACTTGCCTTATTCTCACGAACAAAGCATTCTTCCTTTTATCGAAAACACTGCTCGAGTTTGTCACGTACAATCATCAATCAAGCAGCGCGATGCACCTCTCTACATATGTTGGTCTTTTCCTCCTCAAGGATATATCAAGATTAATACAGATGACAGTTTTATGCCTAATTCAGGACTAGCAGGGTTCGGGGGTATTGCACGAGATGACAAAGGAAGATGGATAGGTGGATTCTACGGCCGACTTAGCATGAAAGCGACATCAAGTATCACACCGGAGTTGTGGGCCATACATGGTGGGCTGACTCTAGCAAAAAACTACAACTTGAAGAAGGTTCTTATCGAAACCGACTCAAGCGATGCCTTAATGTTGCTAACCGTGGCGGATAATGTCACTGAAAGTCACCCCGATCGTGTTCTGATGGAAGAATGCAGGAATCTCATATCCAAACTTGGAATTACTCTAATCCATACTCTGAGACAAGGAAATAATTGTGCTGATCATTTGGCGAAGTTGGGAAGAACGCAGAAAGAAGACTTGGTAATGTTGCATTGCCCACCACATTCTACGCAGCAATTGCTACTTGCGGATATGGCTCACATAGCATATGCTAGGTATCTGAAGCATGTAACCTAATGTGAAGCCTAGGACAAAATTATTTTGAAGATGTAACATTTGTAAAAATCGAAAAGGATTTAATAATTTGAAAGAAATTAGTTTGAATGACGAGGATCATTACGAGTAATCTTTATTCTTCTCTCTTTTTGCTGACATTTTCTTTGCTCATTTGCACTATTTAATTCATTATACTTGCTGGTGATACTGTAATGATTGTTTAAATCGTAGTCGTACTAATGTTTTTGGTATTATTTCATTTACGTAAGACTTCAAAAATGAGTAAAGCGTATTAACCAGCATTTCTTGGCTGTTAAAAAAGAGCCATTGGTCCAAAATGTATTATCAGAAAAATATATATATCGATTGCAAGTTTTAGAAAATCCTCTACCAATGGAAACTTAAACCATATGACATTTAATTTATTTTAATTTTCTTAAGAGTAAAAAGTAGTAAATTTAGTTCCTGAATTATTGTTTAGTCAGTTTTTGTTCATGTGTGTTATTCGCCCTACAAATTTGTCTTTCAACTAAGTCAAATGGGCGATTAATTTAGTGCTTATACTTAAAAAGAAGCTAACATAAGTTAAAACAACTAACTTAAACATGTGAAGAAGCGTTGTTAGATGTTTCATTTTAATTTCGTATTGAGGCCTAACCTAGTGCTCGAGAGATAGTTGTCCATATACTAATAACCTTAAATTCATGGTGTAAAAATTAACATTCTGAAGAAATCACAAATGGGGTAGGCATTTTTGAAGATTCTCAGTTCATAGCACAAAATTCAATTTAAAATGGACTTTTTTAAAACTTGCCACACTAAAACAACCTATAGTATGCTGTAACAATTTTTTCTACTAAGAGTAAATAAATCTTAGAAAAATTAGCATTCAAAAAGGCAATATTAGCCTCAAACTTCTCATAAATTAGAAGGTATACATATTAAAAGCTTAAAAAATAGACTTGTTTCACAATCTTTCTTCATGTTGGCCATCCTTAGTTCCAGACAAGGCTATGATAACTTACAAATCTACAGGTCCAAAGCTGCTCCAGTCATCAGATGTTGGATCTGTATGGACAGTCTCAATCTTTGGTCTTGCAGATGGATCGGGAAAGTTCCAGAAAGAATCAGAATTCTCGAAGAATACGTAAAATAAGACAGCCGATGCCAAAAATAATCCCAAGAGTAATAGATAAATCTGCCACTCTGCAATTGAAGAGAGGGAAAAAAGGTCAATCTTGGACTCAAATGCTCGTGCACGTCCCCAGACACAAGAGAAAAGAAAAAGAGACAGACCTTTCCAATCAGCTGGGACATTTAACTTTGTCACCATTGCTCCCCATTGAGAGGAAGTTGTAAGAGCAACCCTGCCAAATGTGGACTTATAAGGTAAGTAGGCTTTGACATTAATATCTCAAGAGGACTATGTGTAGTAAGCATAATTGAAACAAGGTTTCAACTTTGAAGAGCGCATATTTAGGCAACAAGCAATCATCATAGGCAATCATGTCATCATGGAATCACCGAGACCTAGCACCTAAGACTCAGAAAAATAACAGAGAAGACAAAGCTAACTTGGAATGTTGCGTAGAAATCCAGGCAGAAGAATACCTAAAACTAGCACCATTCTTTACCTTGGACTTATAGACCAGAAGGGCAGGAAATAATAAAAGGAGCACAATCAGAAGTTGTGCAGTGAATACATACAGGTCCAAAGTTAATCCAACAGAATAACTTATAGGTGCGGCAGACCATCTCGAAAGCACATAGGTTTTCTTCTATATTCAGCAGCTGTAACTGAAGCAGTTAATTTTTGTCTCCTTAAATAAGCAGTAGTTGTAACTAGTGCATTTACGTACCTAAACAAAAGTAGCTCATACACTAAAGATATTCATGAAAGGTTCTTGGCATCACCATATCTACTCATGCTTCTTGGCAAACTTAATTGGCCAAATCGTATATAGGACGCACAAGACTATCACAGTAACTCCCGTTTTCACCCTTTAGTCACAAATTACATCTACTGCAATTTCGTCATATATCGGCATAAATATCTTGTGGAGAAACATGGCTTCTAAAGAAAAGGCCTAAGCTTCAGAACAGAGGACCAATGACAGAGACTTGTTGTTTACAGAACTTATTGCTAGAATAGCACATACCTTTCACTAGGACAAAACTCCAAAGAAGTAATATTAGTACCCAAGTGCACTCTCCTGTGCAAAGAGGAGATCTCCATATTTTTCACTTCAATAACACAGACATCACCATCTTTGCTTCCCCTGCATTTAAATGACACACAGAGATTCAGATCCATGCATTAACAAATTAAGCCGCACTGCTATCACCAAAAGACAGGCCTATAGACCATTTATAGGAGGGGAGACATTCATCAAGAAGAAGAGAAGTCCGAGTCGCAAAACAACTTCAAACATGTAAAAAATACGAGATGTTTTAGCAGGATGGGAACTTCATAGTAGTTTGATGGAATCTTATACTAACTCCAAGCGGAAGAAATAGGAATCAGAGCGACTCTGTTTTAGGTCCTCATTCATGCCTCATATCGCCCGATCTCATCACCAGATTGTAAATGTCAAATCAAACTCAATGATTCATTCAACATCCATGTAAAAACAATGATTTAATCAGGATTCACAGTTGCAAAATCGATGTCAAATTCCAATATTTAGCTTCAACGGCTTGTATCTAAGGAAGGTATTTCACAGTAATTATGCAGATGATAATTGCATGTCAACATGCCACGGAGAGGTAAAATAGGTTAGAGATCTTACAATGCAAGATATTTCCCATCCAAACTAATTGACATAATGGAAGCTGGCTTTTTTAACAGGCTTTTATGTCCAATTTTCTTCCATGTACTGATGTCCCAAACTGCCATCAATGTCTTATTGCCTGTTTTATGGACACAATTTTGGATAGTTACACAATGTATTCAATAAGAAAAGTTACACAATCTCAATCTACTAACTTCATTAACAAAAGCCAGACTTCAGCATACCTTTCTGAATAGTAGTGAACAAAAACGGTTTTGTACCGTCTTTAGAGAACCTGCAGAGCTCAATATTCTCATCCTACAATGTAGAAGACAGGATATAAAGTCATGCATAAAAAAGGGATAACCAATTGTCCGACAGGTCAGACGGTCATATTATACAGAACGTACTGAATTTCGTGTTAAAGTTACTGGAACACCGTCGCTCGTCTTCCATATTCTGGCAGCACCATCTGTGGATGTGGAAGCTATGAACTCTGAATCTAAGCTGAAGATATATAGAAGTAAGGAAAAGACTTTAAAATCTTGGTCCAAACATCAACATAAGAACAATAATTCTTAAACTTCCATAATACATGGATTCAATATCATCTGCAATCGCAATAAGAGGCTCAGTAAATTAAAGACTCTTAAATCTTTCGAAACTTAATTTTTATGAAGATTGTCATAATCATATTCAACGATCAGATTCACACTTCAAAACTCAAAGTATATACCATGAATACAATTACATGTACAATAATGCATGTATTATAGGATTCTTGATCGCGAAATGTATCGTTCTTGAACATATATCATTTTTGAACATATCAACATGTTTAGTTCTTCTATGACATCCCTCACTTCCTTAATAATACCGATAAGGATTAAGTATAATTCAGCGTTGAAATTCAGTTACCGTAGTTTACATCTGATGCTATTCAGCTCCAAGATGGAAATTCCTGCAAACTAGGTTTCCTACTCATCTCTTTTTTCACTTTTAGTTCCACATGAGAACAAAGTACTCCCAACACTAGCAAAGGAGAACACGGAGCAAGAGCAACAACTTGAAAATCTGGTATGATGCATGACAGGTGAACCAAAAAGCTAAATTCCACATGGGACTATAATTGGATGAGAAAAGAACTTCATTCTGATCTTTAAAGTGCAAAATCTACATCATATTGGTTAAAAGAAACAAGGCTAAGATCCTTCATTTCATTTTTCCATCAATTAGTTTCTTTAGAATATAATTTAATGAGACATTTCCAGCACTAAAGTGGATCGTTTTACTTCAAACTCCTGAAACTCTAAAACATAATCTTCCATCTAGCAAACATGTCATAATCATATTTCAGTCAGAAATGCAATAAGAAGAATATTGTTCCTTTGCTAAAAGAACCAAACAACGTTTCATATCTTGTAGTCACACCCGATAAACCGAATATTTTTCTGTAACCAATGCACAAATGACATTTTCTTACAAGCTTCATATAACACTGCATGTCAGAGCTATGACAAACAAAAGTGAAGAAGACCCCTCTCGGTTTTGGCTTGCTTGAGAAGGTTTCTTTTGGTTAATCAAGCATTGGTGCATATTATCACAGCAAAAGGGCTTGTAAACATAGGATAACAAGCTTCCCAGATGATAACAGCTCAATTTGAGCATCATATATTTCTCAAAGCCTCAAGTTTCATTATTAAAGAGAAATCAGCAGCCACCAAATGGCACCATAAAGAGAATAAATGGATTGCTGATCAACTTCAATTACGAAACATGTAAGTATACAGATTCTGTAAATTATAGGTCCCTAGAGCTGATATCCGGTAAAATTCTCACATATCATAAATAACTGAGGATTCTGCACAGCTATAATCTGAGTAGAGCTAATTATACCTGAAATCCATGTCTCTGAATGACTTGTGAGCTTTAGGTTCATCCACAATAATGCGCATGGTAGGCCACTCAAAAAGTCTGAAATGTCCATCCTTTAAGATTTAAAGGAATAGAAAGTCAGAACAAGATAACATTCTTTGAACATCAAATATAAGAGAAATAAGCTTTCACAAATTGCTCACAACTCCGCCAGTGGCTAATTTGGAACCATCAACACTAAAGGCCATGCATTTTTGTGGACCAACATCTTTGAGAGGAAACTCCTTGCATACAAATTTTATATTATCTTCATGACCATATAACTCAAACAACCTGCATTAAACAGCAAACAATATATCCCCTTCAGGCCAAGAAATAAGCAAAAGCATGACAATAATCATGCAAAAACACATCCTAGTCATCCGTCTGTTCTTTTGTTGGGTGGAAAACCTAATCAATAATTTGAAAAGATAACTACCAGCCAAAATGAGAGCTGAACGGTTGCTGAAACCTGTATAACACACTCCCACACTGGAACATAGTATTGCGTTGAATTTATAAATAAAAATATGTACTGATTGGGTTTTCTTTCATCAAAAGATGAAGAATCATTACTGAAACGAAGTATCACAGAAAGGATCATCCAGCCAATGCTACTCGCCTCACCAGCAAGCAGGTCCACGATGTTATGACCAATATTTATTAGAGATACCAAAGTAAAAAATTTCCCCAATTAAGGATGACACCAGAGTTCCACAACTATAAAGTAACAGATTTCTCATTGACTGACAATAGTAGTCCTGTTTATATACCTTACACTAATACAAGGGAAAAGGTCCAGTTTCACCTCTATAACCTATAGCATCTGAAATTGATCAACTTTGCCTCCCATTAAACTTTTGGTCCATTCATACACTTGCCGTTAGCAAATCATCTGGTATTTGCTCTCGTCATTAATGGAGCTCCAACGTACAATGGATGGACTCCATGTGTCCAAATTCTTCAGGAAAAAAGGGTCAAGATTTACCCATCAACTTTTGACAGTGGTTTAAAATACCCTCAGGTTGGAGCTTCGTTAGATGTCAAGGGCAACAAAGAGACTTTTTTTTCTAAAGGCGGGGTAACATTAGACAGCTTAACAGAGACTACCAACTGCCAAAATAATCAATATTTTTCACAACAAAAGCAGTAAATAAATCAGCTTCAAGAAGAAGTAAGAGAAAACGAAACTGAGTTTCAGTATTTACTTGCAACCAGTGGTAGTGGAGCACACAAAGTCATCCCCAGTTGGATGTACTGCAATGCACACCGCATTACCACTTTCCTCAAATACATATGTCGCCTATAATCAATACCCACAAAAACAATAATCAAGTTTCACCACCATCACTAAAAAGTCACAGGAAAAATTAGCCGTATATAAGTAAGGTATTTAAGCTATACAGTGCAACGATTTTTTTACTCTAGAATTTTGAAAGCAGGTGATCACCAATTAATGCTTATCAGGAAAATAAGTAACCTAATTATGTTATGTGCATAGCCAAAATTAGTGAGAGCAACCATAATTAAAAGTAACAAACAGTTTACAACACTAATTTAAAATAAAAAATACATCTATTTTTGGAAAAAAGAGAAAGGGGAACCTTGGGAGAAGTAGAAAGAGAAGTAGTGATGGGATCGAAGGAGAAAATCTCGAGCGAAGAGGAGGAAGTTCCGTTAGACTTAGCAATCACCACCAGATGCGCGTTTTCAGGCCGTTTGATCCATGATGCACACGTCACCTTCCCTTCCACCGTAACATCACCGCCGTCCATTTTTTCCACAACCCGAATGCAAAACTCACTTTTTCCCTCTATGTGTGTATTTGCGTGTAGTACTGTGTGTATATAAAGTTTCAAGGTATAAGAATGGCGGAAAAAGAGAGAAATTGGTCTTTTGTTCGTTATGGGGAGTTGAGTTTTTTGAGTTTAGCATAGAAATTGAGATTTCGAATTTTGTTTTATAATTTTTTGTTTTTTGTTTATCGCTTTTTAAAGTGAGAAAATGTGAAAGGGTGTGGTGGGACTGCTATATAGAAATGGAAAGTTGGAAACCGGCGAAGGTGGGGCCAGGGAGTATAGTCAACGGATATTTTGGGATATTCGCATTAACAGTGATAATTCCGCGGGAATTGCATTGGTTTTACCCGATTATTACAATGCATTACAATTTGCACGTCTGTTTATATCTGGCAAAAAGAAGGGGGGAAAAGTACACAACTGGTTGTTGACTAATTAAACAAGAGGATAATCCAAAAAATAGAAAAGAAAAGAGACGACTTTTTTTTCTTATTGCATGTCAACCTGTGTTTACCCTTAAGATGGACAATAATTGAATTTACACGCCGTTTTAAAGATATATAGACTAATTTAATACAGGTGTTCAGTAACGTTAAATAAATAAATTGAAGACAGAATAAATCCCCAAACCAGCAGTGATGTCAGATTCGAGCTCGAGTCTGAGCTTAGTAACTGTTCTGCCCTCGATTCAAAGCCAAAGACTTGTGAAGAACTATGACCAAAAATAAGAACTTTGAATAGCTTTAGAAGCGGAGAAAATAAGTGTATGTTGCCTTGATTGAACAATAAACTTCCCCTTTATATAGTAGGGGAGTTTTACCCTAAGTACAATTCTAATAAAGGTAAAAATCTTCTTTTTCATTAATCACTGATGAATTATCGATACGGGCCGAGATCCATGCCGTGATATCGAGTTGGGCGCGGATATGACGCCTCTTCGTTAGTCGTATGTAACCATTTGGTTGTGCTTTCCGAGGTCTTTAGAGCACGTACCAGATTCGATGGGCGTGTCTCATTGGCCCCGGTGATAAGCTCTTCGTTCGGGCCTTAGTACGAGCGGTTTTTAGCTTCGATCTCGATTCCATGTAGTTATACCCTTGCTTCGTTTGACCCCACCGGGAAATCGGGGAGCTCACTAGCCCCGGTTTTACCGGTATACAGATAGTCCTCTCATTTCTCAGAGGGTAGGTTTGCTGAAACGATGGGAAACGACAGATGTTCTTCGGTTCCTTCCTCCGTATGTTACAACCAAACGACAAAAAAGTCGAAATGTCCCATCAGTCGTGTCGTTCTAACTTAGGATACGTGCCAACCATCGGCTAGTTGCCTCCGAATGCGAAGCGTCGCGTACCTCCCCCATAAAAGCTTCCACCCTTTGTTCTTTTTCCGCTTTTCGATCAAGCTTCTTCCTTCGAATTTTCTAGCTATCATCAACTTCTTTCAAACCTTCATATCTTCATCGTTTGATCTTCAAATCTTCATAGTTGTTCTTAGGTTCTTACCCAGATTTTCTTCAAATCTTCATCCCCTATTGTTCAGCCTTCAAACTTGTTCTTCCAAACCTTCATACTTTTTCTCCAAATTTTCAAATTTTACCAGGTAGCAATGGCTAAAACTACCAAATTAGTTTCCCAATAGGCTGCCTCTTCATCTTCCCACCCGGCCATGAATGCCGAGGTAGCTGCTTCCGAGGCGGCTATTCCCGAGGTGGCCACTCCCCAGGTGGCTGCCTCCGGGGCATCTATCCCCGAGCTTGCCGCCGAGCCTCCCATGAAAAGTTTTATACTCGGAGGTAGCTCAATCACAAACGACTTCAAAGTCGAGAAACCCTCATCCAAACATAAACGGGGTGAAGGAGCATCGAGGTACATATGCTCTATTACCGAAGATGTTCTTCCCGTGGTCCGTGAGGACTGTAAATGGGAAGGCAAGGACGTAGTAGTCCCCGGGCCTGAGGATGCTATTACTACCCACGTGGAGGGGTATTTAAGTGTTTATACTTACCCCTTCACGCTGGGCCCAGTAGACCCAATTATTTTGGATTTTTGCAAGATACGAGGTGCGCCTTGGGCAAATCCACCCGTCTTTATGGAGGATCGTGATCCTCCTCCATTATTTTATGAATAACACTGAGTCTCATCAGTTCACCATCAACCACCTGCTCCATCTATACAGTCCCCAAATTTTCTGAGGGGGGCTAATCAAGCTCACTCGCGGGGCTAGAATGGCCCCCTTCTCGAGCATTGACGAATATCAAGACCGAGGCTGGTAGGGGCGCTTCGTTCGAGTGAAGACTAAAGATTTAGTCTCTCCCGAGTTCATGCCATTCCCCAAGAAGTGGAATGCATCTCATAAGAGCAGCCTTTCCTTAACTATCAATTTTTGTTCATTTACTTTCTCATCATTCATATTTGTGGTTGTGCAGCCCGGGTTCCAAATGCGGTCCCCCGGCTCAAGGAGTAGATTGAAGGCATCTTCAAATCAATGTCATACTTTGAGCGCTCATGGCGCAAGCTTTCAAAGGGACGATGGGAGGCCCATACTCATGGTAAGTTTCTCCTTCTAATAGCTACTACCGCATTCTTAACTCACAGCATACTGAACTTTCTTCTTTCTTACATAGGTTTGCCTAAGACCGCCGAGCTTAGGCCTTTGGAAGAGGAAAAGGACATATCCTTGTCCGTTGATCCCTCCGTTATGGGACAGCCCGGGTCTGCCGCGACAGCGCGGGGCTGCCGTAACGGAAAACAAGAAGAGGAAAAGAAAATTTTTGGGCTCCCCGCATCCCGAGGTGAAGCCAAAGAAGAGGGTGGTTAGAAAGCCCAAGAAGAGTACCAGCTCCCGGGCGCCAGATTCTGATTCACTTCTCTGGCTTAGGGACGAGTCGAAAGAAGATGTCGTTTTTATCGCTCATGGATCGACCCCTCTCGGGGAGTAGGCGGTATCCAAGGGAGAGATTCGTGAGATCGACCTCCATTAGTCTCGGGAGGCCGATATGGAGACGGGGGGAGTGACCCCCCAGGATGCCTGCTCCACTCCAAAGGAAGTGCCCGGTGTAATAGACATTATAGAGAAACCCTCCTACACCAAGTCCATGCTTGAGGAGGCCTAAGCAGGAAAAGAGAAGTCCAATGAATGGGTTCATGGCGCGGGCGATCCCTTTATTCTTTCTTCAATGGTGTGGATTCATCTTCTTTGGAAGATTTTTCCGGCCTAGGAAACCTGCAAGTCCTGAAGAAGGATATATCTTCAGAAGCTAAAGGGCCAAGTTTGAGCCCAAAGTTGATTAATCAGTTTCTCGCTCCGAGTGTGGACCCTGTCACAAGAGAGCGGTTATTCTTACTATGATAGGTTTTCAATGTCTTTGCCTTATGTTTTGATGATCTAACAAACTTAATGTCAAGGGCCAGATGGGGAACCTGACTAGTACATTGGACTACACTGCATTTAACGGATTGCAGCTAAATGTGAACTGGTACAGCTTCAGGAGCTAGAAAACTAAACAAGGAACTGATACCCTTGTGGTTCCCTCATAGCAGTACAAAGTCAATTGGACACAACTGGAAATGAAGTGACTGCCTTCACTATTTCTGCAGCACTGCACTGTTTCCAGCGCCCACTCATTTCCTCACCAACTAAAGTGCTCACATCATTTCAACTGATGTGATCAGGGTGTACCAACATGAGTTTATATTGAAACATTACTTGAACGTTTCAGTTTCTCACTCAAGCCTTTTGAAAAACAGAGAAATCAATCCTCACGAGCTTGAAGAACAAAGTTGAACGCAACTACGGACCAGTTCCTAAAGTTAGCATGTTGTTGTCCTTAGTTGAGTTGTAACTTTGTGATTGTACTTATTGTATCTCCTAAATTGCTTAGCTAGAAGCGTTGATTAGGAATCCTCTTGTAAAATCCGTAAACTCTTTTAAGTTTATGTTGTGACTAGGTTTAGTCATAAGCAAAAGCCTTTGTAACTGTAGAGTGACAAAGTGGCTTGTGGTGAGAGCATCACAAGTTAGTAAAAGTCTTTGTAACTAGGGAGTCACAAAGTGGCTTGTGGTAAGAGTACCACAAGTTAGTTGAGTTAAATTCTTTGTAATAGAGCCATTACAAAGAGGCTTGTAATAGGTTTTTACAAGTTAGTGAAGTTTAAAACCTACTGATGTGGGTCGTGGTTTTTGGTCCCCTTGTGTGGGATTTTCCACGTAAAAATCCCGTGTCTCATTTACTTACAGTTATTAGCATTCTCAGCAGAATCTCATAGAGGACCAAGCACTCTACTGTTTTATGGACTCATACAAACTAACAATTGGTATCAGAGCAGGTTCCTCCTATCAGGCTAACACCTAGGAAGGATCCTCTTGGCTGCTCCACCAAATTTTGAAGAAGGTCAATCTACATACCGACCACCCAGGTTCAATGGATAATACTATGGGTGGTGGAAAACAAGAATGCATGATTTTATCATGGCTGAGGATTCTGAGTTATGGGATATTATATGCGATGGTCCTTATGTTCCAACAAAGGTACTGGAAGAACTTCCATTTTCAATGGCAAAACCCAGTAAAGAATACACTGACGTAGACAAGAAAGCTGTGGAGAAGAATTTTCGTGCCAAGAAAATTCTAGTATGTAGAATAGGACCTGAAGAATACAATAGAATCTCCGTCTGAGACACTGCCAAGGAGATATGAGAAGCTTTGCAAACAGCTCATGAGGGAACTGCACAAGTAAAACAATCTAAGGTCGATATGCTCACTACCAAGTATGAACTCTTCAAAATGAAGGACGATGAATCCATTCAAGATATGCACACAAGATTCACTTTCATCATAAATGAGTTACACTCACTTGGTGAAATCATTCCTAGAAACAAGCTAGTGAGGAAAACCCTCAGCATTTTGCCTAGTCCCTCGAAAAGCAAAGTGAATGCTACTACTGAATCAAAGGACTTACAGGAGCTGACCATAGAAGAGCTGGTCAGAAATTTGAAGACCTACGAGATGAAGAGGAAGATGGACAGTGAAAGAAGAGAATCAAAGAAGGAAAAGAAACTGGTACTTAAAGCTGACAACAATGACTCAAGTGATGAAGACAGTGAAATGGTTTACTTAACCAAAAGATTTCAGAAGATGGTCAGAAGAATTGGAGGAATGCTAAAAAGGAACAACTCTAACAAACCAAAAAACTATGATCTTTGTCATAAGT